CCTGTCGCTGCTGCCGTTCTCCTGCACGCGACGATCGAGTCAACGACTTGGAGGATGGCCTTGGGTCAACATCTACCGTCAAGCCTGCTCGTGTGACGAGTGTTGTTGCGTCCTTCGACGCGTGGCTGTTCGCAGACTCCAAGGTTCTGTGGGCGGTCCTCATCAGCGAAATATTTTGTCAGGTGGGTTGATGATGAAACCCAACGTTCTTCACGTGTAAGCGGCGCTTGGACCTCTGAATAGCTTTTATTCTCGCACTGTGCGAAAACCAAGGGTGCAAGTAAGAAGNAAACCCAACGTTCTTCACGTGTAAGCGGCGCTTGGACCTCTGAATAGCTTTTATTCTCGCACTGTGCGAAAACCAAGGGTGCAAGTAGGAAGCGACCCTTCTAGTGGTGCTGCTCCCTTGCCATAGAACATTGCCGCTCGCAGGGTGGGAGGGACATGTATGTACTGATGGCTACCTATTTTGTCGATGTGCGAATTTGGACAGGTTGAAGAGCATCCGTGCTTCGGGAAGGGTGCTACCTATTTTGTCGATGTGCGAATTTGGACAGGTTGAAGAGCATCCATGCTTCGGGAAGGGTGCTGTGCGAGCAACCCGAGTACGCCATGCGGTGACATCGTCCACGTGCTCAGACTGGTGCCTTGTGATATTTACTACCGCCAGATCGTCAAAGTGCTCGAAGCGGTGCATCTGCTCCTCGAAAAGATAATGTGAGATTTCTGTGTGGAAGGTATGGATGAGCGCAGGTACGCATGTGCAGATAATCGTTGAGGATAGCACAACTGCCAGCTACCACATCCATAGCACGGTTGGTTTCTTCCCAGCAGATGGCCGAACAACACATGTGCTTACCAAGCGATGAAACAAGCCCAACGAGCGCACTTCGTGTTGCGGTGTAATTGATGCCAGGTAAACGTTGCAGTCATGTCGGCGTTGGACCCCCGCGTGATTATTGCGGCGATCGAACAAAACATGGGGGAGGGCATACGCAGAGAGGTGAGATTACCTATTCAGCAATGCATTTTTCCGTCCAGGTGGACGGGACACTGGCACTCCGTTGGCGAGTTGATGTGCTCCACGAAGAGCGCATCTCAAACGCAAAGCCCTTCAGAAGAAAGTCTCCGTGCATAACCTCCAGGAAACTGTTTCCAACTTTACTACGAACGTGTGGCTCACGGCGTGGTCTATCATAGGGAGCGGGTAGCGTCACGTGTAGATCCGGTGCCGGCTGAGGTGTTACTCTCCACCGTTCCCGCCGCGACGCACTCTGACGTCCAAGGTGTCTGGTGCGGAGTACTTGGACAAGATCATCCACTGGCCATTCTGTATCCCGTCTGGAACAGAGGCAGAGCGTCTGTCTCTGCTGCGTAGCTGGCTAAAGAACCAAGGCAACGAAAAAAGCCGGTCAGAAACCCGGAGGGCTGACAGCAACGTACGGGTAGTCGAAGGTAGGAGTGAGAAAGGATGGTGGGGATGGAGTTTGGGCACTTAACAACGATGTTATCCTTGCCAACTAAATGTGCCTAAGTAGCTCATAGAACGCCTTGGCGCGCCCCTTTCGTATATCACACTACACTCGTCAGGCACAGTTCCGACTTCCGTGGCTGCACGTCTGAAGGCGGTCCGCTTACGGTGGGTCTGCTCCCGCCTCGATCACTTTCTCGTCTTTTCGTCCGCGTTTGTCTGCCCAAGGTGCTTCTCGGCATGCTGGAACAAAAGAGCACCAAGGAGGATAGATACATGCTAGTTGTTAGCATCGATAATTTGGATCGATGCCCGCACCGCCAGATCGTCAAAGTGCTCGAAGCGGTGCATCTGCTCCTCGAAAAAGATAATGTGAGATTTCTGTGTGGAGGGTATGGATGAGCGCAGGTACGCATGTGAAGATAATAGTTGAGGATAGCACACCTGCCAGCTACCACATCCATAGCACGGTTGGTTTCTTCCCAGCAGATGCCCGAACAACACGTGTGCTTACCAAGCGATGCAACAAGCCCAACGAGCGCACTTCGTGTTGCTGTGTAATTGATGCCAGGTAAACGTTGCAGTCATGTTGGCGTTGGACCCCCGCGTGATTATTGCGGCGATCGAACAAGACATGGGGGAGGGCATACGCAGAGAGGTGAGATTACATATTCAGCAATGCATTTTCCGTCCAGGTGGACGGGACACTGGCACTCCGTTGGCGAGTTGATCTGCTCCACGAAGAGCGCATCTCAAACACAAAGCCCTTCAGAAGGAAGTCTCCGCGCATAACCTCCAGGAAACTGTTTCCAACTACTCTACGAACGTGTGGCTCATGGCGTGGTCGATCATAGGGAGCGGGTAGCGTCACGTGTAGATCCGGTGCCGGCTGAGGTTGTGCTCTCCACCGTTCCCGCCGCGACGCACTCTGACGTCCAAGGTGTCTGGTGCGGAGTACTTGGACAAGATCATCCACTGGCCATTCTGTATCCCGTCTGGAACAGAGGCAGAGCGTCTGTCTCTGCTGCGTAGCTGGCTAAAGAACCAAGGCAACGAAAAAAGCCGGTCAGAAACCCGGAGGGCTGACAGCAACGTACGGGTAGTCGAAGGTAGGAGTGAGAAAGGATGGTGGGGATGGAGTTTGGGCACTTAACAACGATGTTATCCTTGCCAACTGTATGTGCCTAAGTAGCTCATAGAACGCCTTGGCGCGCCCCTTTCGTATATCACACTACACTCGTCAGGCACAGTGCCACGCCCGAAGTAGTTAAATGTGCTTCGGGGGGCATTCACCTTAAGGCCGTGGTGGAGTTCGTGGTATCTCCTTTTCAAGAATCCAGGAAACGCCTGCATATCTCAGTTTTTCACAGTACCAACTCTAGTACGAAATTACCATCGCAAATTTGCGCTGACCCCCCCTCATGTGCAATGTTAGTGTCTTAAATTGTAACTCTTGTGATACGGTACGGATTAGCGGTCCGCGATTTTCCAAAGCACCCTTTAATCACCGAGATCTGGGAGCTACTAGAAGGACATTTGAAGCTTTTTGCGGTCCGATTTTAGAACCCTTCAAGCACACAGTAGTAGCCGCGAAATGGCGCCTATGCGCGTGTGTTGGGCCGCGAACTTCAAATAAGGCTTTTCCCTCACATATCCTACTCGTCGCCATAGTCGATTGAATTGCCTGGGGTGATGTATATATAGGTCTAGCCATACACAAAGGTGCCTGAAGCGTTTCAAAATCGGACTGCTCGGCGGCTTCAAAAGTTCCTGATTGTAGCTCACCGATCTCGGTGATGAAAGGATCCTTTGGAAGTTGCGGACCGCGAGTCTGTAGTGTTTTGTTTTGTTTTGTTTCTCTCCCATCATTGGACTCTGCCGTCTGCCCCTCTGGCCCCTATCGTCCACTTCTACTGGCTAGACGACCCAACCGGGGTCACATAGGAGGGGGGGGTTGGACCCCCTCCTGCGGTTCATGCCTGAGGTATATGTATCGCGAGAAGGGTACAGCAATCCCTTCCCTCGCGACTTACAAAGTCGATTATGGTTTACTAACAAACGAGCTTTGCAGCGCGTCGCTTTCGTCCTAGACCAGGATTTATTCAGCGAAAAAAACTCTCTCTGCCGGGACTCGAACCCATGACCTCGACGTTGACAGGCTGTGCGAGGCTACCCACTAGACCACCGGGGCGACCGGTACTGTGTTGGGCACAGTAGTGTATCATAAGGGCTAAAATCTCAGATACTAACATCGTACCTGTACACTATGGGGGGTCAGCGGACGGTTGATGTGCGGTAGTAGTTTGGTACTAGAACTTAGACTTTGGAAAACTGAGATATGCAGGCGTTTCCTGGATGGTTGAAGTGGAGATGCTGCGAACTCCACCGCGGCCTTAAGGCAGTTGGCGATGTTGCCCATACGTTGCACACAACAGTAGTGCATCTCGTGCTCTGCGTCGCTCTTTGAATGCCCAGGCTGTTTTCCTGGCTGGGCACACGTCACTTGCGTGGTCTGGTGATTGCTTCCGTGCTGCGCGCAGTTAACCCCGACCAACCTGGAGAAGAAAAGCTCTCACTGGGAGACTACTGTGCGTCCCCCAACAGGGAGAGTATCGAATCTTCTGAGAAAGCACAGGTAAACAAAAGCTCTGAACAGCGAAGCGGGGGAACCGATGCGGAGTCTGAGGGAAAAAAAACTCATCACGCTGGCACTTCAACTAGGGTGGGAGCATCCTGCGCTTCAGATGGAGGAGGCCGCGCTCCCATCGCTTCTGTGGGAGCAGCGGCTCCCCCGCTGCAAAGTCAGATGTCCAACCATGGGGTGCAAACTGACGAAGAAGCACACGAGCTTGAGAATATGATCAAGGCAATCGCGCCAACTCCTCGCAAGGCGAAGCGCGTGTACAACTGTACGTCACTATTGAGGAGGAGTTGGGGGTGGGGTTTTTATCGTGCGGCATCGAACAGTTGGCCTGTTGCTTCCGATGGTGGTACTAATAGTCTATTCTCGACCCTGATCCAGCTTCCGATTCCCCTCAATCTGCGCTTGAAAGGTTACCCCTGCTGTTTGTCGTTGAGCACAGGTACAGCATCCAACGCGCACTAGCACGGAGGAGAGCGGACAACAACAACGGTTTCAAGTTCACGCGCGATAGGGCCAGGAAGCATCTTCGTTGGACGATTCTCTCGGAGTTCTGGTGACTAGCATGTTGCTTGGGGCAAGAACTGCGGTGTTCCTCTGTCAGATGGCCTGTTTGTCGGCACCGAAACTCTTGTCTATGACATGCGATCTGTAAACCATCGATGGAACTCTGTTTTGGTGGTCCATCGGCGTAGTGCACCACGCACCCGGTCCAAGGCCTTTGACCTTGATTGCATCTCATAGTGATCAGCCGGGTCAAGTACTAGACGGTTTCGTCTGATAGTTCCTTGCGGGTTCCCAGCCAGCCTGTACGACTACTGTATTGCTCACTATCGTGGCACGACTAGTCCATGTACCACCAACTGACCTCTCCGGCGGTGATCCGCGATGCCTCGCAGGCCGTTCCATACGGCGTGCCTCGTTGCGGTGGCGAAGAAGAGCAAGGAAACGGGCACCCTCGCCAACTTGTACGAAACCAAGGGAGCGAAATTCCTCTCCGACATGCTGACGGACAAGCGGTCCTCGGATGGGTCCCCAGCCTTCATGATTGACGCCAACACCTCCTTCAGGGCTGAAGCACGGAGGCTAATGGGCTTCGAAGAGTCCGACGAGGCCTTCGTGCGGGTTTCAGGTTTCGCCCCGGACCTCTTGGTCGAGGACTTCGATGAAGACAAGCTGATGCTGTTGCGCCACTCCTTCAACCTCAATCCCGCGATGGTGGCAAGGGTCGTGGCCTGGGACAGGGGGCGTTGGTAAAGCCGAGGTTTCGCTAGGCAGGGGCGTTATTGATGTAAACAAATGCCGTAGTCGGTAGACCGCGCATCCATGCAATGCCAGGACGGAGCGATAGGCCGGGGTCTCGCTGGCCCAGGCTACGTTTCACAAGGATGAAGCAGAATCTGGCCATCATCCTTACTTTTTGCCGTGGCACCCAGATATACCATGGGTTGATTGGGCATCCCGGCTCACCAAACGTTTCACATTCGGGTAGGTGCAGGAGTGGGGTGGCCCCCTGTGCTTGAGAATGTTCACTCTCTGGTTGATAAATCGTCCTCTCTTCATCACTTGGTCCAATATTTCCGTGCTCGTAGCAGACGGAACCAGGCGGGAATTAGCGAATCGTTTTGGTGCCGTTATTTCTGGGGTCGGTCGCGATTGTTGTCTCTTTCTCTCGTAGTTTACTGTAGTGTATTCCCTTTGACCTTCCTGTGACCACGGACAGCGTCCGCGTCAGTTGGACCGTTACTGGAGATGTTGGACGGTACTGAACAGACTGGAACTTTGTATTAAGTGAATACAACATAATCAACGAACTCATGTTGCACCACGATTCCGGTATCTAGCAGTATCAACATCGAGTGTGTGTGCTCTGGAAACGACATGTGTATGGCATTCACCGGTGCTTCCCTGCACCTTGAAGCCCATGTCAGTTGGGTACAGAAACAAAAGAAAAACAGGCAACATGCCCCTCCCTTATAATCAAAGTACAGGAGATGATCGTACAAAAGCCTTCTTCACGGACGTTTGGAAGTCTAAGGGAGCGCTGGACCTAGTCTCCTTTGCAGTTTCCCCGTTGACTGAGATACAAGAGAAACGAATCGCCCCAAGCCTTTGGCGGAAGATACATGGAGGATCTATCCGAGGACGTGTATCAGACACAGCGATTTCTAGCAACTCGCCGCTCTCACGTACAAGGATAAGTCATGACGAACATTAACATTCCTCTATTCGATGAACAGCAATAGAAATCCGCCAGCCACAGAATGATTTCTCTCTGCGCATGTAGCAAATGCCTCGTTCCATCCACAATATTACGGCACCTGGTAAATGACACACATCGTGAACGAATACCGGCCATCCTCAAATTAGAAGATAAGCTTCCCTCAAAACTGACAGTATTTGGAAAGAAAGGCAGCTGAATGGAGTTGTCTACAGTATACTGTACTTGTGCACGAAACAACCAAGAAGAAAACACAGCACACAAAAAATAAAATGTATAGGGCAAGCTTTTCCTCTAATAGTAACGCGCAAGTGTATTCCTGTGGTCGTGGTCCTGCTCAGAATGCACTTGCCATCCCAAAACCTCTAGACTTGGACAAGAAAAGATCGACCAAGAACTTTTCTTTCCAGACCAGAAGAGCCGGCGGCTGCAGAGTGGGGCCCGGAGCAGCCGGGACGCCCGAAATCACCCCTTCGCAGATGGGGCTAGACAGTCCACTGCCGGGACCGGACGCTTCGCTCGCGGGACTCCGATTCCTAGCCGACCGGTGACCAACACTCCGGAGCTTCGGGCGAGTCTGAACGCCAGGACTCGAGCTGCCTCACCCAGGTGTGCTCGTCGGTGCATCTGCGCCCACCCCGCCCCTGGCGCTAACGCTGCGAGAAGTTGTGTTAGCGAGCATGCGTCGGCTGATACCTTCAGAAATGTACTTCTATGACATATCGAGAGGCCTGTATGACTGGCGCCAGATGGGACGAACACTACGTACATAGTAGGACACACACACACAACGTCAGCGCTAGTCTGTCGCGCTTGCTCGGAGCGCTTCAAGTTTGCCCGCCAAGATCAATAAGTTTGTTTCCTGTGGGCGTCACGCGCTAGCCCAGCAACCGTTCTTTGCTGCCACCGCGAATCGGGGAACGAACTAAGCACAGCATGGAGAGCTCACAGAAATACCAAAATATGTAGTTGTGAAACGGTTGACTCGAAACTATGCGTTGTAGGTCATGTACATATGGTTCAGTGTGAGATCCTTGGATAGATTGAACGCGGACGCACTGGGCAGAATCCGGAGTGGTTTTCCGCAGTGGACGACGACTACAATGATCATGACGACGAAGGCGACAGTACCAACCACAGCAACAAGAAACTACTCCTTATCGGTCTGGTGCGGGTGTTTACCTAGAAAAAACGGCATTGTTACATCAAAACACGGCCGTGCCATGACCCTCGGTCCTTGGAGAACGTTCACCAAAGACAGGAAAAAAAGAAAAGCTTCCAACCAACTCATCGCTTTGTCGTCTACGTTTCGTACTTTTTCGACAGCATCATACACCCACGCATAAGCTATTACAACAATTCACCTCAATGCCTTACAACATCTTTGTTTGTTGTTGCTGCTGCTGCGCCACTCGCCTCTTCGACAGTGGCATCGCATCTGCCGCGGCCCCGCTGGCGCCGCCGCCTCCCTCCTGCTTGGTAGAGGAGGCAGGGGCGGCGGCGGCGGCGGTGGAAGAAGAAGAAGAAGATCTGCCGACCACGCGGTTCGCGGCGAGGGCCTTAGGGGTGGCCTTGCCCGCGGCCGTGTACGTGATTTCCTCGGGCCCGGTGGCGAGGCCGATCTTCTTCGTGCGGCAGCGACGAACGCGGACGTTCATCATCCAGTTGTTCACCTGTGTCGCGTCCACGGTGAGGTAGCGGCTACGTTCGGAGAGATATCGCTGAAGAGAAAGCACAGACTCGCACCAGTACAGTAGCGGCTTGCTTAAGGTTGAAGAGATACCGTACACCGTCTTACTGCTTAGAGATAGTGCGGACTCGCATCATCCAGTTGTTTGCCTTTGCCGTGTATACGGTACCAGTAGCAAAAGCAGGTTGTTCGTACAGTCCTAAGATAAAACCGGACTTGAGAGCGTGTTTTTCGCTTGACCCGACCCTCTCTTTGCTGCTACTGTACACAAGAATACGATCTCTTGTGAAACGCTGTGGAATAAAGATACGTACCGCCTAACCCTGACCCTATCCCTATCCTTCTGCAAGGTGCTACGCGTCTACCGGATGTTGTGTCTGATTGCTGGCGGGACGAGCAAAACGAACAAACCTGCGTGACGGTGATGTGGCAGTTCTGCGCGAGGTAGAGCTTCTGTTCCTCTGTGGGGTACGGGTTGAGCCAGTGCTTGGCCAGCCATCCCTCCAAGATCTCCTTCGCCTGAGGGGTGAGGCGGTGGCGGCTGCCCTTGCGATTGTTGTACACAGACCGGCGGGGGTCTGTCACAGCGTCGGATGGAGGAGTCTTCTTCAGCAGCCCTGATCTATTTTTGGCCTGTGCGTTAGGGGAAGGGGCGAGGCGCTGAACTGGGAGAAGGGGGGAAGGGTCGCTCGTAAAGTACGACATCTGTTATGATAAGAGGGCTTAACGGCTCGACAGAGAAAGTTATTGAGGGTGCTGTGAACGAAATGTGATGCTTCATGTCTCCAATGCCGGTTTTCTTGAGGACGATGAGATATACGGCGTGTAGTTTTGTATCCGACGTCGTCCCACTCATAGCCAAGGTTTAACCCGTGCCCGCCCTAGGCTTGGCGACAAGAACAAACTTCGGACACAGTTAGAGGCAACCAGAACTGTGGGTAATATAAGTGGTTGACTACTTCCATAAAGGCGGGGATGGAAGATGGGGAACGTGTTCGTATCGACGAACGCCGCCTGCAGAGCACCACCCTCTTTATCAGATCAATATCATCGGGGCATGGCCGTTATCGACAGCAACAATATTTGTTCTTGCGGTCAATACGCCACGGCTAGCAGACGAGCATCCAGACACGCTGTCAACAAACACGGCATAAACATGCGGTTTGCGCTTCTCTTCCATTCCTCTCTTGCTCACGGTCGAAGAGAGCATGGCAACATGCGGTTGGATGACGATCTCTCCCAGATATATGAAATACTCGGGCCGAGCAACCCTTAGCCCCCTATCTACCTTGCCGACATTGCTCGTCGCTCGCTTCCCGCGCCCGCCCCCACCAACGCTGGCTCCACCTCCCGTCGCCCCCCACAAGTCGCCGTCGAACCCCGCGCTGGGGTCAGAAAGACCTCCGTGGTCGTGTCCAGGTGGTGCCGCCGCGCCGCCCCCAGAACCAAAGCTGGCTCCCATGCCCTGTTGCTTCATACCGTCCGCGCCTTCCATCCGGGTGCTTCCGAGGGCCATCCCGAGCTGGGAGTGGTGGTGTTGAGGGCGGTCGCGCATCTGCGTGAGGGCGAACACGCTAGAGCGTCCCGTTCCGGGCGGCATATGGTGCAGGATCGACTGCTGATGCTGCTGTTGTTGCCGCTGCGGCTGCTGCTGTAGCTGCATCGACGTGAGGCATGACGAGCCAATTGAGTTGCTGCTGCTGCTGTTCATGCTCGAGGAAGTTGCCGCGTCTTCCCAGGTAGAAGCCAGCTGCAAACAAACGATCAACCACGATGGGGTAGCAAAAGCAAAGAGATTTGGGGGACCAGATGGGCTAGTGCTTAATGGTTGGCGTGGAGGGACAATGTTCGCCGGGACTAACGTGCGGAACAGCAACAGCACGCATAGCACGAAAGCGGGACAGCGTTACCCAACAACTGAAGGTGTATTCGGTGTAGCGGGTCGTTGCCCACGAATAACCTAAACCACGGATTTGCACCCTTACGAGCGGTGCGGTGCGCCGACCCTGCGCATTGGCGAACCTCGATAAATGGCCAAGGGGGATGCAGCAGCTGGAAGGAATTGTTCCGAGTTTTCTTCTTCGCACAAACGTCTACCAACAGCAATTGCTGGCCTCTCACGAACGAGCGACACACGAGCCTTTCATATCGTGTTAGAGTAGTGGGAGTCAACTCTTATCTGCAATCATCGCTGCAGGTCGACGCGGAGTTCGCTGAGAAGGCGCCAATAAGAAACAAGATAACAGCTGTTTTGCCGTTCGAATGTTCGGATTCGTGACAAAGATGGACATGTTTTTTTTTTCTTCTTAATATCACACAACAAATTCATCTTTATCTAAAGAAATACGTCTAAGATAGATTAGCAATGAATCCATAGCGTGAGCGAAAGGCTACCTATATGTCTACGGTTTCCCAGACAGCATACAACGATAACTCCCCTGTGGTTTGAGTCAATCCATCGCCACGTTCACGAAATTAAAGTGCAGCGCGGTGTTCGCTGTGCGTCGCGCGTGGGGAGAAACTGCGATGTGCGTCGTGCCATAACAATACAACCTCGCGCTAGAGACGTTGCACACACCAATCTGCTGTCCCGCTCAAGCCGGGCATACGAGGTGGCGTGTAGGCATGACATGCCCACCGAAGAAGCTCGAGCTTCAGACGATATCACGATACTCGCACGAATGCTTGCAACAGGCATCCAAAGGCAACCAATCTGGGAAAAACGTATCTCTTACTTGTTGCGATTCTGTCGCGGGAGACCCGAGCGCCGACGGAGGTAATGCCATGTCCATGCCCATGTCTACGCTCACGTCGCCCTGGCCTCCACCGCCGGTAGTCGAGAGCTCCTTCAACGTAGCCGTGCCCTCATCGAGCACGCCGGACAGCACGCGGTGGCAGTTGCGCCTCTCCGCATTGATGACGCTCTGCTGTTGGGCAGGCGGCGCGCCCTCGCCGAGCGCGCGGACCCCTTCCACGGCAGCATTGGTCTGCTCGAGCACCTTCAGCCTCAGCTGCCGCTCCACGGCTGTGCTGACGAGGCGTAGGCGTTTGCGCACGTACGCCGCGTCGGCGCCGCCAGAGGAATGCAAGGGACCAATGGCCACTCCGACGGCCTCCGCCTGGAGCAGGCGGTGGCTCCTGAAGAGCATCAGCTCTTCGGGGGTAGCCTTGCGGCCACCGAAGGTACCGTCGGCGACGGACCCCAAGCCGAACCCGAGAGGGTCGCTATCGCCGCGGCCGCTGGACAGGAAGAAGGACAATGGGTCAGAGTCGTCGTGGGGGTAGGGATCTGTGAAGGAGATTACTTGAGCGTCCGGCGGATAGGGTAGGGGTTGTTGTTGGTGTCCCATAAACAAGATCGGCGATGAGACTCTCCCGAGACCTTGCTGTCGCTGTTGATCTTGCGGGCCACGCGTGGTGACGCAGAGGGATGCCTCGATGACGCCGCTGCTGCTGCTGTTGCTCGCGGTGCCGGTGCTGGCGACGGCGGCGGGGCTGTCGGTGCCGCCGCCCTCCCCGGAGGAGGCTTTGGCCGGAAGAACCATTGCCCCGGAGGACGAGCTGCTCGCCGCGCTCCCGCCATCCATCCTCGGGCGCTCACGCGGCAACCTTGCGACACGCGGCGCAAAGCCGATCAAGACGGGCGACCGATGATGGTCCCGAGCGAGGAGACAGTTGATGAGAAAGATGTCTGTCAGTATAGATGGGCCGGTGAACTCTGATCTCAGCTGGAGCACGGGGGGTGAGAGGACAGAGAGGGGCAGAATGAGAGAGGAGAGGGAAAAATTGATGTGTGAAAGACGTCTTCTCTTCGTGCATGTCTGTCGCGAAGCGACAGCTTTTCGCAACAGAAACAACATGAACTGATTCATGATTGGGCCGCATTTTTTTCCGTGGTACGGCGTTTCGCGTCCGAGCGGTAACAAACTATCCCGCAGATGGGACATTTTTGTTTCAGTAGGGCGTGAGGGGGGACCCGCATATTGCAACCAAGGGCAGGACATGACTGGCATCAGCAAACACTGCATGACTGCTGCAGCTTTGGGGCTATCTAGCGCAGTTGTGTTCCAGAAAGAGGCCTGCTTGCGCAGCTACGAATGAGAGTAGTCGGTTCCCTGTTGATGTTCTGCTCGTTGGTCCGTCCCAACCGAATCGGCGCCTTCTGCAGCAGGAATATTCCACGTCACAACAACAGGCAGCAGCAAGCTCAACACGGCAAGCTCAGCATGGCTGCTAGTGCTGCACCGATTGACTTCGAGCACGTGTCCGGCGATACCCTCGGGGGAAGCGGCATCACTCTCGTACCTAAGGTGTGTGTGTTGGCATCGATGCTTGAGCTTCATATATCTCATGTGGGAAGAAATAGAAATGGAAAAGCGGCAGATCTTCCCTACAGCAGTACCGCTGGAGGTGGTTCTTCGTGTCTTCTGTCCGGCACACGCAGGATAAGCAGGTACAAGTCTCTTGCTCGCATCCCTGATGAGAATTACCAGCACACTGCAGAGGCTTCAACATATCCTTTCGACTGGAGTATTGTGAGAAGAGGGGGTCGTCCTCGACAGACCTTGGGGGGATTGTGTACCCTTTGATTGGGCCTGTACAACAACAGCAGTACCCTCCAATGTTGGTTGCAGACATTTGCCAGTGGTATCCTGCAGCACACGTGTATGTAACCAGGAACAGCAGTAGTTCGGCTTGCGCTCACTGTATGCCTAAACAGCAGCTTTGCCGACAACCTACAGCGGCCCCTCAATAGTGCCGGTTTGTACCCGTCAGGTTTATCGACACTACACCAAGCGCCGGCAATATGTCGCGCCATGTCCACAACCTGTGTTTCTGCGAGTCGGGACAACCTGTAACGTGCTCTTATGCCGCAGCGTCAATGATCCGTCCGCTGCCTGTTTGTGTCAAATTATCTGCAGGATGGGGCCTACACGAACGTGGTTGTGTGGCTTCACGGCCTAGGAGATACGGTAAGTCGCGCCAGTGAGTGTTGCTGGTCATCGTTGTCGTCCCTTTTGCTCTTGTTGTCGTCTTGACATGGGGCAAAAAGCACTCCAGGACCCAGTTTTTCGCCTCCTTGTGCCCTACCGCTTGTTATGTACGCCTCCCGCGAAAGTTGGCACACGGCAAGAATTTGCTGTTCATCCTCGAAGTGGCCGGATTTCCTTGATTGAGTCCCCGAAACGCTGCCATTGAGCTCCGTCGGTGCCAGCGTCCGGTCTTTTCGACATTGTCCATCGATCGTGCGGTGTGTGTACTCCCCTTTTCGCCACGTCGGTCGTCGCCCTGTCAGCGTATCGTATCTAGCACCATTGTAGAGAACTTCGAAACGTATCCGGAGGCATTGTCAAGGGGCATGTTCGCCCGGGGGGGGGGGGGGGGGGGGGGNGGGGGGGGGGGGGGGGGGGGGGGGGGGGGGGGGGGGGGGGGGGGGCACAGTACCCGGGTAGATAATCGCCGTTGACGGTTACCCGGGTACCCGTTAGACAACTGGGGACAGTATCGGTCACAACAGATGTATGTCTCTTCGAACGGTTACTGCTTCAGTCGAGTGCGAGAAAGAGGGATTCGCAAGCAGAGGCCAGTAGGACGTGTCGTGGCAACAACAACAACAGCAGCAGCAGCAGCAGCAGCAGCAGCAGCAGCAGCAGCAGCAGCAGAACAACGGACCATCACGTTGCACGATGGTGTCGTTACCCCATGCTAGCATCAACCACGCATTCTTGACCTTGCAATGGCGTCGTCACCCTCCGCAAGCACCAACCACGTTGTCCGGTACCCTCATTTTCTCGATGGCGTAGAAGTTCTGCACACAAGCAACAACCACGCCATCTTACTCAGCTCAATCCCGCCGCTACATGCTCGCACGCAGGCGGCTGGATGGGCTAGTATGATGCCGCAGTTGAAGCTCCCCAACACCAAGTTCATCCTTCCGACCGCAGACACCAGGTGAGATGATTGCTGTTTTCCGTGATTGCATACGGAAGATACCACACCCCTTTGAACCGACTTGCAAAGCCCGAGTACTCTGCAGCACAAACAATGACGGTGCCGACCTTGGCGGGAGGCGTTGGAACCGTCTAGTCAAGAGCTTTCCGAACACGCATCATTTGATTTTGGCATCCTCTTTGTAGTGGAATAATTGAGAGCTGAGAGCTTTGACACTCGGCAAAGCGGGTGTGGCATCCTATGCAACCTTCGACAGGTGAAGTCAAACCTTGCTTGGCCGATGTTTCCATGCAGTATCTCCAAGTTTTGGTTCTGGTTCAAAGTATGATTCTGTTTCCTTCTTGGCTCTCTTTCGAGTGGGAAGAATACTGTGTTCTGTTGGCGTAACTTTCTCCCCAACAAATCGCAACGAAGTCGTCTCTCCCCACAGAGAAAGAGCCCGGCATAACCGCAATGAGTTCATTGCATTAGTTGTTTTTCGCCTTGTTTGTTTTTTTCTTGTGTTCGTTCAGAAAAAACATGACGAAGTCATCCAGTATACTCCGATATAATTACATAGTAACGAGTTCGTACCTCTTTGTTTTGGTCTATTATGCAAGGCTCTCTAGACCGCGGCGTCTCGACGTCGCGCCTCCTTACACCCCGCAAGGAGAGAGGCTCGCTCGCGAGCTCTTCCTCCGCCCCCGCGTATTAGCGGAATCACGTTGGCAATCTGGTTGATGCTGCCAGTAGCCATTCGCTCGTCTCAAAGATGCATGCCATGCATGCCCAAGGATAGTACTTAGCACCCGAGTTCGGAACGTTTTTCTTTTTTTCTTTTTTGTCTGGCAGGCCAATCACCCTCAACGGCGGGTACGAGATGCCGGGATGGTCGGACATCTTTGGTCTCCAGGAGGACTCTCCCGAAGACGCAGTGGTACGCACATCATGCGAACCGACATCCAAGAGAAATTTCAGAAATATCACCTGCACTTCAAGAACCTGGTACGGTAGTTAGTGAGTGGACTCCATGCTACATGGCTAGAATGGGGTGTGCGTGAGCGCTGATTCAAAGTGATTAAAAAAAAGAAGAAAAAAAAGCCCCATCCGCGTTCATGAAGAGTTTGGCAGTCATCAATTTTTAAGTCAATAGTCAACTGCCAAGATCGGGCAAACAATGTAGACTTCATCCTGGACATGCTGAGTTGCTGTGTGTGAGCGCTGATTTATAGTGATGAAAACAAGAAGTGCTCAACACTTAGTATCGAACGCGAGAACTGGAGCACCGTTTGTGACCCCCACCCTCGATCAATAACCATGCCAGAGGTTTGAATTGCGGGCGACATCTGTAGTGCAGACAAGCCTTGCGAACATGTGGCGGTATGGCTGAAGGAAGGTACACTAAGCGAATAATGTAAGGGAGACGTTGGTATGACCGTATGTAGCAAGGTACACTACGGATAATGGAGAAATATACGGTGTTACGGCTGCAGGAAAGTACTGTTGTCCGGAAAAGGTAGTAATTCTAGATTCAAGAATAGTGCTTGGAACAGGAACAGGGCGGTGTGGCTACAGGAGCATGCTCAGTCAAGAACCCCTCGCTACCCGCACAGTCGCTGTTAGGTTTTCCGTAGACCAACAACAAACGAGCCCTGGGGCAAAAAGCAAGAGGTTATTATCTTTTATGGTGGCGCAATCGTTTGCGACTTATGCGGAAGCAAAGGTTCCCCGGGTTTAAGTCTGGACGGTGATTCCATGAGGGCAGAAAATGACGAGACCTTCCGTTCTGGACAAGGAATGATTCGAGCCGCGAACAATTTCTCGGATGCAGGGTTTCAACGCCAGCGCCGATCGAGTCCGGGCCATCTTGGAAGCGGAAAAGGCTAAGGGGAAGGAGAGTACGCGGATGGTGGTTGGGGGATTTTCGCAGGGGGGTGCGGTGGCGCTACACTTCTGCCTTCGAGCCACGGAACCTCTAGCAGGTACGTTCGCTCAGCGGCTGAGTTATCTCGAAGGGGTGCTTTTTTTTCAGTTGGGATTCGGTACGTCGGGGTGTTGTTAGTTTTTTTTCTCCCAGGTGGCGTGGGGATTAGAAGTGTACCCTTCTTTTTATCTAGGCCGGGGTCGTTGGACTGCTTTGACGAACTTTGGTGGGTGCAGGATCGACTTTTGCGCTTCAGGAGTTCACGTTCTGTCATCCGCGAACGCGCGAAATAACCGTGGCACACCTCTGATTGTCCATACGAACGATTCATCTAAAATCTTCTGACACATGATTGGCTGAAAAACGCCACAGGTTGCGTGGCCTGCAGCACCTGGATCCCTCTCAACAAGGACTACCCGACAGCGCTGGGCAGCGCGGCCAAGGACATTCCCGTGGCACAGTTTCACGGGACGCGGGACGAAGTGGTACAGTTCACGTGGGGCCAACATAGGTGAGTGGTACACAGCAGGCTACGGTAAAGAGAGGCGTTTTGTTATGGTATCTCTAGCGGACTGCTTGTCCTGTATATGCAAGGAAGTCACGATGCCAAGGATGCCCCGACATCTTATGTTGTTGTTGTTGTTGTTGTTGTTGTTGCTGCTGTTACCTTAAAATTAAAAAGCATTCCGTTATCTCTACCCAGAATTGGCAGCGGCAAATACCGACCGCGGCGAGTACCGATTTTGGCGAATCCCGATCCAATATCTACCATAGTCTGCTTTAGATACCACAACCCCTTGACCGATTTGCAAGGGTCAACTACCGGCTTTCCAGGGTCAACTACTCTGCAGCAATCACAGCAGTGAAAGCGCCGATAATGGCGGCCTTTGAATTGGCTCGTCTAGATTCTTCCCAAGACGCATCGTTTTAATATTGGCACCTTGTTGGTCTTGGAGGAATCGAGCTTCGTGAGATTCGGGCTCGACGGGTGTGGTATCCAAAGCAACCTACGGCACAGCGATAAGCGTCCTCGCTTAAGAGAACTGAGCCTCGCAGACCTCGATGTTTAAGAACTTGAGTACCATTAATAAGCTCAACTAAGAACCCCTACACCAAAACCTATGTAACGGCCATCTGTAGCATAGTCCTAGGAACGAAGACCCCGTCTCGTCAAGAGTCAAGATACGTACGCATACGTGCGGGCTTTAGATGTGTGCTATCTGACACATTTCCGTATGGTGTTCCACCCCCCCCTTGTGCGTGTTTCCTGTACTCCTCCTTGCAGTCACATCCTCATGAAGGAGAAGCTTGGCATGACGACCACGTTCGAGGCGATAACTGGCATGGGACACTCATGTGCGATCTTTGGTGCCGTTGTTGCTGTGTCGTTGCAGTAGATGCTGTTTCTCTTGCTGCTGTTCGTGTTGTTGTCTCTGCGGCTGCTGCTTTTGTTGTCGATGACGATGTTGTTGTTGTCATTGGACTTGCTTTTGCTTCAGCTGAGCCCCCTCCCGAATCCCTCGTAGTTGTCGCTTGCCAAGGATATTGTCCGTTTCGTGTTTGTTGTGACCACGAGGACGGTGTCATACCACATGCCTTGGACGGTACGAACAAGAAACCTCCTCATGATTGTCGAACTATTTCTCTCTCTCTAGTAAACCTAAACACAATTAGAGAAAGACTTTTGTATCCGTCCGGGATATAGCCACAGCAGTCGGGCGAGATGGGTTTAAGTATTTCTCTTGTGATGCAGTTACCAACAAGAAACCACAACAGCGCCATCATCAACAACAACTTCCCCCGTTTCCCCCTTGCACAATCGCTGCGCGCTTTCGACGTCGCAACCACATGTCGGGTCCGTTCATGACCAGCGAGCAATGCTGAAATGGAGAGCGTTGCGGACTTCCTCAAGAGAGTGCTGCCGGACGGCCAATAGCCTGCTTGACTGTTGGGGTCTTGAGATTGAAGAAAGAATCAGGACAAATACTAGCCTGTTTTTTGGGGTCTTGGGGTTGAAGAAACCGGAGAGAAAGTAACCTGGCATTTGGGGTTTCGGGGTTTGACGAGGCGTTATTGTGAGGGAATTCAGTGGAAGAATTTATTCTGCTGAACCAGGGACAACAGTAGTGATGCTGATGGAAAATGGTTGAAAGTTGAGTGTGAACGCTTGGATGCGCTGCAGGAAAGGACGTGTTCTGTTCGTGCCCTGATGGAGGCTATTCGGCTCGAGAGGGAAGAAGACCGCCGTATCATACCGTAGGTTGGAAGTGAAAGCAGACAGTCGAAACTGAAATATCGAAAAAAGCTCCGATAAAAAAAAATTGTTTCGAACGTGGGATGGCGAGAATCCTCGAAAGGTCTGAGAAGTCTGGACACGACTTTGGCACCCCAACCATTCCAGAAAAACACATGGCTTGATAGTTTTATCTTGCTTGTTGTAGGGGTGTTGAAAGTGCCGTGAGATTACCGACGAGTTTCCATGTATATCGCGCGCACACGGCTAACTTTCCTTGACTCCCTGGTATGAGCTAGCCCCGGGGGAGAACGCCTACAGTAAATTCGTACTCTTACCCGTGCGGTTCGGCGCTCAAGAACGACTTTATTCTCAATCTGGCTTTGGTAGACGACCACGCGCTTGTACAGCATATATGGAGGCACCCTTGTTGACCGTCCGTTTTTTGCGTACTTGGCCCTGCCAGCAGGCCGTTTGCAGGGCGGTATCACTATGGAGATATCGTATGGATATGATGTCAGTATTACACGGCACCTTGCTCCGTATTTTTGCTGTGTTGTGCACTTGTGTGCATTGCTGTGCAATTTTTCCAAATTTTGAAAGTTATGAGCTACATAGTTTGTCGAGGGTTCCTCTTTTTTTTTTCTTGTTCTATTTTTTCTATTTTTTCGAAGTGCGTGTTCCCTTGTTGGTTAGTTGACTTGTGACTACGCAAGGCATCCGCGTCAGGTGGACCGCTACACTACGGACATTAGAAGGTACCCTGTGAGTACAAGACAACATGGCTGAGAAGGCAATAAGGAAGGCATCAACACGCTTCATCTCTGACTGGACGTGTTCCACAAGCAATAGAAAAGCATTCTATCCTTATTAACATTAGCATCGGCAGCGCTAGCTGGCTGGCTAATGCGGAGACATCTCACCTCGGTAGACGGTGGTGAGACTGAAAAATCATACTCATGTTATGGCCTCTCGAACATCGGGCAGATGGTTCCGCGAGACAGTCTCGGTTTTCGGTAGATAGTCTAGACTAGATATGCATTTAGTTTTGTGTGTGTCCGTTTCGCTGTGTTGTACCATGCATACTACTACCTTCCTCCAGTGCGACCCCGGCAGATGCCTCAGCCATATACCGAAAGGAGTGGAGTGTTGGCGTTCAGACCATATGATGTGTATGGGACGAACACACAACAAGGTAGCTTAGAGTCTTCATCTGTTTAGAGAAGAGGAGGGGGAGAGAGAGAGAGAGAGTACCGGTTTGTTGTGAGCAGACGACCAGGTGCCCACAACACAGCGTTCGCATCGGAACAACACTAAAACCCACACTCCGGTGCCCCTCTAGTAATGTTGACGTGCTGAACGTGGGATCAAAAACAGCCACGATCGTGCTCTACGATGCTCTTCGAGAGGCCGGCAAGCAGTTGGACAAGTGGAAAAGTCAAAATTGCAAGATTGCAGTGCAGATCGAGTTCTCCGCAAAAATATCCGGCGTGTGGGGGTCTGCAGTTAGGAATTTGGCATTCCCCTCCTTTTTCGTAGATCTCGAAGCGAGCACCGCCGGCCAGCCCACATCACTCGCATGTGACATCCAGCAGCAGTCAAACGTCGTCAGCCAAGGATCGGACCGTGAGTCCCAGTCGAAGATGGGTAACGGGGCTAGCAAAAAGTCTGGCCCGGCTTCTCCGAACACGATGGAGACGGCAGCATCGGACGCCGGCTCCCGCAGCGGCAGCAGTCCCGACACAGGTTGCTCTCCTGCCCCAAAGGGCAAGTCCTCCGACGCCGCGGACAATCGCAACAGGACCCTAGACAAGAAGATGCTGTTGAGCGCGCTCCAGGCGCAGGGGGAGTGCATCTCCGAGAGCGAGTTGAACAGCATCCTCTCCAACCATAACACCATCATTGAGTGAGTCTAACAGCAGAGCAAAGCAATCATGTGTTTTGTTCTCACCCTGGTGCCAAATTTTATTCCATAACGGCTCCCCGAGCCATAGGGTGCTTGTTGTAGAGAGTCAGTATACGGCTTCCGTAAGACGTTGCACGCAACACTTTGAGTGGGTTTCGTGCTCTCTTGGAGTTCAGCAAGCCCTTTGACAAACGCGCCCCTCCTTTCTGAGGTGAACATCACCATGTTGCCCCATGATGCCGCTCGATGTAGGTTCTGTTGCGCTCTTGCTCCTTGCTGTACATGCTGCCCCACAACTTTGAGCCGCTCTTCCCTCAAGGCTGTACGTACCGCTTGGTACTCGCTGATCCCTACGGCGAAATTACAACCTGAACACACGGCTGTCGATCCAGCATTTGCTGTACATGGTACCTCGATTAGCCTCTTCTCTGAAGACAATCATTGGAACTCGCTGATCCTTCCCTCGCCCTGCGTATCCAACCAACGACTCAGCACACTATGCTACTACTTAGCATCATCCAGCATTTTTTCTACAGCAGTATCATCCAGCGTTGCTTGTAGATTGTCCCTCCTTTAGCTTTCTTAGAAAGCAAACATGACCTCACAGAAAGACTACCCGTTCGAGATATAACCTCGGTCGAAAGGGATGTGGTGATGTTTAGTAAGTGGATCGAGACAAACTGGATACTTGGCTTATTTTGAGTTTGTGTAAGCCAACACTGAGTTATAAGTGATGCCATTGGAGCTAACAACAATAGCATCTGTTAAGGCTTCTTCCCTGAAGGCAATACTTGGCTGTCGCTGATCCTCCGTCCCCCTGCATATGTCCAAACAACAACTCAACGCATCATTATCATCCAGCATTTTTTCTGTAGATTGTTCCTCCTTTGGCTTCTTCCCTGAAGCCCATACTTGGCCCTCGCTGATCCCTCCGTCCCCCTGCATATGTCCAAACAACAACTAGCTATCGATCTAGCAGCATCACTGATCCCTCCCTCCATTGCATCCGTCCAACCAACAACACTGCTGCCGACCCAGCGCCCTCACCTACATCGCGGAGATGAACCTGGCGAGGAAGAGCGTCAAGGCGCATCGGCCTAGCCCCATCTCTCGCCGCCGGATCACCGCCAGCAGCAGCAGCAGCAGCGCCGGCGGCGGCGGCGGCGAAAACAGGCTCCAAGAAAATGTCCGCCCGCCCCTCCTCCCTTCCCCCGGCGGCACGACCATGAACAACAAGCGCAAGATGATCGCTCAGAAGAGGCCGCTCGCTCTGGAGGATGAGCGTCCCGCGAAGCGACCGACCGTTACAACGGCGGCGCCGGCGTTTTCCTTCTTGGGCGGCGGAAGCGGTAGCGGTTTGGCCGCACCCAAGCCTTTGGGGAACTTGTTTGCTGAGGTCATGCGCCGCCAGAAGCCAGCCGCCTCCGCGCCCGCTACGCGGTTCTTCGAGCGCGATGATGCTGGTGATGAGTCGACGGAAAGGTGCGAATGGGGGAAGGGGGGTGTGCAATTGAAGATGCATGCCGTGGTAGTCGTTTGGCCTCGCGTTCGTACAATGCCGGGACGGAGGGAGAAGCCGGGTTTTCGCCGCATCAGGATCTTACAGTACCCGGTCGCCCCGGTGGTCTAGTGGGTACCCTCGCAGCCTGCTAAGGGCCAGGTCATGGGTTCGAGTCCCGGCAGCGTGAGTTTTTTCTCACTAAATAAATCCTGGTCTAGGATGAAAGCGACGAGCTGCAAAGCTCGTTGTTAGTAAACCATAATCGACTTCGTAGGTCGCGAGGGAAGGGATTGCTGTACCCTTCTCGCGATAAAAATGTCTCAGGCAGGAAACGCAGGAGGGGGTCCAACCCCCCCCTCCTGTGAGACCCCGGTTGGGTCGTATAGCTAGTAGAAGTGGAGGATAGGGGCCAGAGGGGCAGACGACAGAGTCCAATGATGAACAAAAAAAAAAATCACCAAGCGCGAAGCGCCATGAGGCATTCGGCGAGCGGGCGGGGGCACTCATGTAGTCGTTTGACGTCGCATCCCGCATCCCACCACTGCCGGGACAGAACGAAATGCCGGGTTTTCGCCGGCCCAGGTTGCGCTTTGCAAGTGATGAACTAGAAGCTGGTCATCCTCCTTGCTTTTTCTTTGCCAAATTGGACATGAGATGGCTTGGTTCGCACCAAACGACCGGCCGCTGATGTAACGTCCGTTGACCGGAGAAGTGCCGTGGATTGGACTCCGGCTGTCAAATGTCCGATTTTTCAGGGTCGATCACTTCACATTGAAGAATTGCCACAGTCATGGGATGGTGAATTTTCCGAGAGTTCCCTATATACCCGGTTCCAACGCCGTCACTGCTGATTGTGGTGCAGAGTACATAGTCGAGGTTTGAATATCGGCCCAAGTATACTTACAGTAGTATATTGGGCACCCTACGATTCACTCGGTGCTAGTGTACTTGGTTGGTAGACTACATGTCAAACGTGTAGATGTTGCACGGCTGAGACCGTGCGAAACAGCAGGGGCATCATACCGTAGGGGACGGAAGGCACCATACCCCCTGGACTCCTTTTTTCTCCTCAGCAGAAAGAGTGGGTGTGCCGAGAATGGCGGCGTTGGAACCTCCCCGTCGGGAGCTTCCCGAAAACGACGTATCGTTTGATTTTTTTGCATGCTTTTCCAAGCGATCCAGGGTATGATGTTGAACGACAAGTACTACTGTACTGCTGTAGAGAAATACACACGCAAATAGCCTATATTCGGTGGGGGGGGNTATTCGGCGAGTCGCATGAAGGGTGCGCTGCATCCTGCTAAGGGTTTTCGGCATCTTGTGCTTACTTCCTTGCGTACGGATGACAGCTGCGTATGACTTAATTTATTTTCTGGTGCTTCACTTCCAGAGACAGTTGTAAGCACTGTGTAACTGCCTCGAGGGTGCTTGACCATTTTATCACAACATAGTGCGATCATCCCCCTTGTGAGGGTTCTCGACCCCGCACAACATGATCTACTCGACCACCATTATGGTTACCGCCAAAAA